TTTCCTGAGCTAAATATATCTAAGAGGCTGAAAGAACTTTTGGTGGGATGGTAAGTTGATCCCGCAGTTTTTTGTTTGATTTTTCTATTTCGCATAATCTATTCGATTAATCAAATTTTAGTGCGGACGTTAATAATCCAGACCTTTTGGAGAGTTCAGTTGATACGGCTTTACATATTTTCCTACTGATAATTGACGCTTTTTTCAAATGTAACCAACCCCTTCCAAGTGCGGACTTTTCCTGTTATGCCAACATTAACTCTCCTCCTCCTGTCAATTCAATATCCTTGCATGCAAAAGCCAAACAATTTACAATAGAACAACAAGATACTATATCTTCTTGGCTATTTGCAGATTATATTGAGCCAATGTTCAGCATACTAGCTATTTGTCAGTCGCGCCTTTTGGATCACTCTTTGGATAGGAATGACATTTGCCAGTCCATGTTAAAGGAAAGCTTTTTTAATACTGTGGTAAGAACCGCTTTATGATAAAAACATTCTTCTTGGTTGCCATTTTTGTGTCTACTTTAGCGTTTCCTTTTTTTAGATGTCATTATACAAATGTGTCGCCGTTTTCCGGCATAAAGATGTAAGAATAGCCTTTAAATTTAATTCTGAATAATAAATTTAATTAATTATTATGGTTACTATTCTATATTATTTTTTTAGCTCACGTTGCTGAAAGCATTGGAAAATCTTTTAAACGCTAGTGACCTCTGGTTGGCTGCGAATCTTATCTCCTCTCTTCCCGTGAGATTTGTTAATTCACTCGAAAGTGATTCTGGTGGTAATTATACAGCATGGGAATTCGTAATTCCTAGACTTTGTCTGATTGATCATTTCTCTCTCGTCTTGGGGCCATTACTAAATTCCTTGGTCTTTGATCCTGTTATGCACCAAGTCTCAATATTTTTCAATCAACTTCAATCTGATCCCGATTCCGTTGCTATTCCTCCCCTGGAACTTCCTTCTCTTTGGAATAACGTTGAGGGTATTTTCTCAATTGCCATAGTTGTTTTTTTCATGTATCTAACTACTTTATTATTTTTTTATTGTTGATTATTGCTTTATTGATAGGACTTTTATTGAAATACTCTAGTGTCACTGCTCGTCCAGCTATTTATCTATATCAAACTACGCCTATTCAATACGGGGAATTGTCGAAAGCCTTTAAGCTTCATTTCCATGAAATTTTAAGTGATCCC